ACAAATGTTTATATGTGCATAAATAATGATAAAAAAAACTGATTTTTTGAAAAAGTTTTGAAAGAAGTTTACACAAACTTAGGAAAAAAGGCCTTTAGTTAGACACATTAATTTACCATTCACGTTTTGACAAAAAAAAGTCTAGATAATCACAAAAAATATTTAAAAATTAACATAAAATAAATTACAGAAAACAAAATAATAACTTTACTCTCTTTTGTTAATGTTTTTGTTGTTGGCATTCATATAAATACACAGGGGTGATACCTAAGTATACATTTGATTGGTTTTTTTGTATCTCTATTTTGAAGTAATGGCGCCTCCAGGAGAAAACTCCACCCGCCGCTACTGGTTATAGGACAGCTAGAAAAAATTTTTCAGTCACTTAGCCCCATAGTTTCTGCTGTGAAACTAACTCAAAGTTCATAATTTTGAAAATAAAAGATTATTCATTTTCTAGGGATTATAAACCAATCAGCTGAATTCAGAATTGGACCATCCGGTTCTGTTGGCTACAGGTGACACCTTCTTGTAATAAAAACAATTTTATGAACCAGAATATAAACAGGATAAACAAAAAAAAAAACGAACATTTTTTATTTTAACTGTTTTTATTTTACACAACATAACAACACAGTACATGTTGTTTTTTTTTTTTACTGTACAGAAGCTTTCTGGGAGCTTGTGACGAACACGGGCTAAAGTATACCAATGTCAGTGAAAAGCTCACAAGAGAATCACGTTTTCTTTTCTCCTTTAAAAATAACAATTTGATTAGAGGTCCTTTAAAATGTTTCTTCTGTTTGTTGATTCTTGTCTCTATATGTCAAGAAAACGTCTGTACCCTCCGTTAGGTAAGAAAGGCTATGTGTGAAATCCGTCTCTTCCTTTAGACCAATCCTTCGCCTGTGGAGTTAGAGGTTCTGTTAGTGCAAAAGAAGGCACCACTGCTGTCCTTTCTGCCACAGAGTCAGTGGATGTTGTATGCGAGTGCGTGACTTTAAAAACGCTGTGCTTTTCCTCCTGCTCTGCGGATCTTCCTCCTCTCCATCCCCCGATGATGATGATCCCCTTTGTGGTATTTTCAGATAAGGTGAATGTGAATTCAGAAATGACGAGGCAGGCTCATTGTCTTATTTTTACTCGTTTTTTGTTTTTTTCTCCGTTTGTGCTATAAAGTGGATCCTGTAAGACAACGCCAACGCTACGAGACAAGGCATGTTATCTGTTTACCAAATGAGGACAAACCTGTAAAACGAGTACAAAAAACAAAAAAGACATGTAGAGAAAATTGATAAAAGCAAAAATAACCCCAAAAAAACGTATACATTAAAGCACAAACTTTCATCCAGAAAACGTAAAGAATCCCCTTAGGCGTGCCTGAAAACGGAAAACGAACCTCCCGACAGGCTCGGCCTTCGGGTGTAAAAATAAATTCAAACGCACTGCAAACACTTAAAACACTCACATTTAAAAGGGTGATGAGTAAACCAAGTTTCTGTGCTGCCATGTTTGGGTTTAGACGGTGCTTTCTAAGATCCAGTCCGACTCACAGCGTCCTCTCTCCGAGTCTCCGTCCTCATCTTTGGAGAGCAGCATCCCGCTCATGGACTGGCTCCGTTTGTTCCTCGCCATGCGCCCCAACTTTGTCACCCCTCCCGCTCTCTGATGGGGGGAGTGAGTCTTTGAGGCTTCCTCGCTGAAGGAGTACCTCCTCCTCCTAGGCCTGTTCCGGCCTCCCTCCTCTGTGGGAAGAGTCTGGTACTTTGCCAGGGAGGAGCCGGAGCGAGGAGCCCGCCGCAGAACCGGAGTTTCTCTAAATCGTATGGAAGGAACCGGGCTGGGGGCGGGATGGAGGGTGGAGAAGGGGGAGGGAACAAAGGGGGGGGCTGGGCTTCTGTTCAGACTGGTGGAGTTGTTGCGGTTGGTGTTGAGGTTCTCCAATGGGGTGGAAGGGGGGAGCAGGGCAGAGGTGGGGGTGGAAGGAGGAGGGAGGGGAGAGGAGGCCAGTGCGTTGGAGACGGAGGACCCCGGCTTACTGGGAGCCGGCTTCCGCTTTGACTTGTTCAGGGTGCCGCTGGCGTTGGTCGGTGACCCGATGCCAGCTGGAGCTCTTTGTTCACCAGCTTTGTCCCGGTCTTCAGCCCCGGACGCCGGGCTGTGGGCCCCCCAGCTCTGGCTGAGGGCGGACGTGGCTGTAGAGCAGTCGGGAAGAGAGCACTCTGACGACTGTGTGACGGTATCCTTCTCCCTGCCTCCTCCTCCCGACGCTCCGCTCCTCTTCTTAGAATCCGCGGAGAGCTCGTCCAGCCCTACGGATCCGTGTTTGGAGGAGCTGGGCGTCACGGCGCATCCCTGCGCCTGCTGCCCGTTGGTCTGCGAGTGGACGTTGGTCATCGACAAAGAAACACCTTTACCTCCCTCACCTGGGTTACAAACCTGAGAAAACAGGAAAAGACAAATGTTGGATCTTTGCTACCATAATTAAAAAGATTTAGATTGAGATTTTTTGTCTTTAAGGTTCAACATCTGAATGCATGTGTAATTGAAACACCTTCAAGAGGTACTGGTGAGTTGGTCTGTTCACACTGAATGCAATTTGAGCTGCATTAAAGCACGTCCCGTAAAGTGTGTCCAGATGCTTCTGCTGCTTCTGCTGCTCCTGTGTTCAATGCCAGAGAGCAACTTTGCTATATTAGCTGTGATCAGCGGGTAAAAAGTAGTTTGAATCTATTTTGAAGTGAGAAATTCCTCCTGAAAACATGGTCTGTTCAGTCAGTTCATCCAGATTACCATCCTGCCTTCAAAGATTATTTCTCTGTGGGAGCCGCTCAGACCCCCACATACTGGTGGTGCGCTGTCACTGGGAATCCCCAGCAGCAGCTGCCTCAGGCCCGCTCGCCTCTTGGGGGTTTTCCCCTACTGTAAGTGGCGATTAGAAGTCGATGTTAGCGTTTTTCAGGTCTGTGCTACAAACTGCAGGCAGCAGGATAATAAAAGCGAACATATTCTGCTGGCAGGTTTCTACATTTTAAGTGCTCTGCATAAGGATGGGAATCGAAAACCGGTTCCTGTTCAGAACCGGTTCTGTGTGTTCCAATTCCATGGCACCGTTTAGCAGCCCGCTTAATGGTTCTGTTGACGGTTCCAGGCAGCACCAGAGCTTAGCGCTGGGCAGCACGACTTGCGTCACGTTTTTTACGCAAGTTATGCGCACAGCATTCAGTAAGAACGTACAGCGTGACTAGGCGTAAGTCTAGAAAAGCAAAACAAAAAAAAATGGCGTCCCATCGGGTAAACCGATCTAAAGTTTGGATGTAAAGTGGCAATAACATCCGCGGGAGGAAATACATCCAACATGCAGAAACACCTGCCTTCACAACATAGCATACATTTTAACGAATGTCGTGTTTTGGATGCTTCCGGACAGAAGCTAAAGTTACGACCAGCATGGAAGGAAACTCTGTTGGTTAGTAGCTAGTTTTGTGACTGGCTGTGCTTAATGTGGTTCCTAGTAAATCAGAGGCCATTTCTGGAAATACACCAGTTTCCTACCTCTCTCTGGGGTTATTAAACACGCTACGAAGTTGCTCTGCAGTTCAGGGAGCGAGAGAAAGGTGACGTTCGTTTATTTAAATAAGGGGGAGATGAGTTTATTTCTCCAAATTGTACAGTAATGCTTTTTCATTAAACGGATGCCTTCTCCATTAGATTTAGATGACTGTGAGGAGACGGGTAGCCTGGCTGGATCAGAGGCTGGCAGCTCCAGTTCAATGCCTTCTGTTTTCACCAAGGCAGGCAGAAATAGAATGTCCCAGGAGAAGGTAGACGAATGTCACCGAGCACTTACCAAGTTCATTGTTTTACAGAATTGATAAGAGAATTGATAAGGAATCAATAAGGAATCGAAAATCTTATCAATTCCCAACCCTAGCTCTGCATCAGCAGTGCTGTGTTTGTCTCGCTGCGTCAAGCAGCTAAAATAAATTTTTTCCAACTCTAGCAGCTGCTGCTTGTGCAGCGCCTCACGCCCCTCAGATGATCAGAAGATTCATGAGGCGCTCTTCCTGCTGCTTAAAACGCACTGCAAGACCTTTTACTGCGCCTTGATGTGCGTTAACCATTTACTTTGCATGTAAACTGACTGCTTCTGCTGCATGTGGTCTAAATGTAGCATTACAGTTTCCCGCAATCTTTTAGGTGTGAGTGCCTACAAGCCCCGCCCTCCTTCAGGGTTTAATCCATCATTACTTCCCTCTGATGCATAAACTTCACACCTTTATCTACATATGTGTAACTTTAGTTTTCTGTTGTTTTTTTTTTTCCAGGGGCTTTTTCCCAGTTTGACCAGCTATCAGGTTATCATCCCATGATGGCGTCTGTGAGGCTAGAGATAGAGATCTAGTTTGGACCCATGGGAGGAGGAGGAAGATGAGGAAGAGGAGCTGAAGCTTGATGGTTTCTGAACAACTGAACGTTTAAATAGTTGAGAACAGATCAGCTAATGATCCATTTATTCATTTTGTATTTTATAGATCCATTAGATTCATCACCGATTATGAAAGGACGGTTTATCAAAACTGATGTGACAGATCAACTCAAATTAATCCAATTATTATTTCCAAGCTTTCCTTTCTGAATCGATCCACCATGTGCCAACTTGATGGGAGTTTATTGCAAACCAACTAGTCGCTGGTAACCATGGCAGCAGTGGTACGATCATTCATGGCGACAGAGACCCACCTTGTAGCGAATCATCAGGATTATGATGAAGACGAGCACCGAGGCCACTATTATCCCTCCGATGATGATGATCATCGTCCCGCCCAGGAACTGGGACTGCATAAAGTAACATTTCATGTACTCCGACTCGGTGGTGAACTGCACACATCCCACCACTCGCGTGGCCGTCAGGGAGGTGATGACATCATCATAGATCGCCAAGACGCAGAGGTCGTACGCCGTCCCCGCTGCCAGGTTGTTGACCAGGAAGTTCTTGCTTGATGGAGGAATCATCCTGAGGGAGAAAAGGACAGCTGGCTTCATTTCAGCTCGTCCAGAAGTTCATTCTTTTTATGACTGAGATCATTTCTGATTTATTAGTAAATAAAAACTTTTTAGTAAAAAAGGATAAACATCAATATTTGTGCTTGTGTGATTTATAAAGATTGAAAATGAGCAAACTGTAGCATCTATGTTGAGGTTATAGGGTCAGGACAGTTTTCACAACATCCTTATATTTATAGATGTGTATATAGAGGATAAGAAATGTAGAATACAAGATGTGAATGTAAATGTGAAACAAGTAGATAAAATAATTATATCAGTTCTAATATATATTATAAAATATTCATTGTTTAACTATTTATAACATATATAAATAGTTAGTAGTATAATAGTATAGTTAGCTATTGTAAACGTAGTTATAATAGCCTGGTTCTGCTGGAGGTTTCTTCCTGTTCAAAGGGAGTTTTTCCTCTCCACTGTCGCTACAAGCATGCTTAATGTGAGGGATTGCTGAAGAGTCAATGAGTCGATGCAATCAGCTGGTTTTCCTTAGATAGAAAACTTTGAATCAATGTGACTGGATGATCTGGTAAACTGAAAAGTGCCTTGAGATGACATGATGGAGCTATAGAAATAAACTGAATAGAATTGAAGATAATGATATTATTATATAATATAAATAATATTTGAAACATATATTAAATAAATAATTAGTATGAAAATTGTAAAACAGACAAATAAATATATCATTATTTGTCATAGCTAAATTTTTTTATAAAAAAAAAAACTTTTCAAAAGTAATACTTAAATAAAAATAAAAATCAGTGTTTCTGGCTTTCCTCTGGATAGAGGAGTCAAAACAAGAAAATTGAAAAAATAATATTTTAAAATATGTTAATAAGAAGAAATTTGAAAGAATTTTTCAAAAATAGAATGAAAACTGGAAATTTAAGCAACAGAGGGACGAAAGGTACTCTCTCTTTACCTCTGCTTTTTAAAATATA